AAGATACTCTGGCCTGCTAAGAATAAAAGGAGGGAGAGAAAATGAGTACGTGATCATTGAACAGTTTAGACATCTGGTAACTAAATTGGGATGTACACATGAATCAAAGTTCATCTCACACAAAAAGAATAAAATGGATAATAATATGAAAGCAAAACTGAATTTTTTTCTGAAGAGCTGAAATAACCCTATTATTGACAGGAATAGCCCTTGTTAAATACCTTGTATTGATAATAGAGAAGAGTACTTAGGAAACAGTTTCTAAATAGCTTTTTTGTTGTTTGCTTTTTTAACAATGTAAAAAGATTAAAGTTTAAATTGTGTCTTTCCAAAACAGAGGACTTCTCAGATTATGTAAGTAAGCAGCTAAACAGAAACTTAATTTCTAATTTAAAATGTGGTTAGTGGCCAGTAAAGTTATGTTTAAAATGGAAAGATAGTTTTCCTAATGTCCATCAAAGAAGATGACTTATTTTGTTCTTCACTTTGACCCCATCTGACCAAGTGCTCAGAATTTTTCAATATGAGCCATACTGTATACCATTTACAAGAAAAAGGAATACAAATTAGCCTGGTGAGCAGCAAAATAGGCAATTTTTGGAAACCTGATTTGTGTTAACCTGCAATCAAATGTAATTTCCATTTTAATACTTATACATTCATATATTGTTATGAACCTATTCTTAACACAGGTTTTATTTTCTTTGTTTCTCTCCTCCCTCACTTCTGTGAAATGCAGAAGGGAAAGGATGTTTGTTATTCACACATTTGTACCCCTACTAACTGGTGTTACAGTACATCTGGCTTCCACTGGAGAGCCCCTGACATCGCAGGGAACGGTGATCAAAATTCCACACACTAGCTTCAAGCTGGGGGCTCGTAGCTACTGCAGCATTGTAAGGGAATCTTTTCCTGGCTTCTTTAAAATAAGCATGGTGATGGGATGGTTTAAGGGAAGAACACCTCTCAAATCACATGACCACTGCTATGCTTTCGTGTGTCCTGCTTTCTTCATAACAGCTTGGCACTACATTCTTTCCCCTGTATCTTAGTGGGCTTGTGTGTGTACAAGTTGGGTGGAGGGTGGGGAGGTAAATGGATGGTTATACATTATGCATGCATCTCTCACTGTTAAAGCAATGTGCCTTCCCTTATATGTCACGAATTATGGTCACAGATTAAATCTTCTGTGTCCTGAGAGATTGGGCCATCTCTCTCTTTTTGGTGTGAGATTCACGTGTTTGGGTGTGTTTTGATGTTTACACCCTCAATTGTTCTTCATGTTGCATTTAACGTAAGTTGAAATGTTCTCCCATAAGAGTTAGCTTTTCATGTTGGGCTGAAAAAGTCTTCATTTCTGTGTAGCAATTCATGTTATTATAACCTATGGCTTTCAATTGTACCTCCCATAATGAAGAGCTGACTTTAAACACTGTGCTATTCTTGTTATGACCTAAGCATAAGGTAAGTGATTTCTCTAACTGTATCTAAAGATTCTTGTTGTTTGTTAAAATTTCCTCAGCTTTTTTTAAGGCATTTTCACTTTTGTTCCTAACATTTATTATGTGCTCTCCCTTCTGTTTTTCTGTTTCATATTTTAAGATTTCCTAATGAATGATGTGATCTTCAGCAAAAATTATATTACACATGTAAACACATGTTGAAATGAGTTATTTGATGTCTCAAACAATCTTGATTAGTAAATGAATACCGTATGTTTTCATTCAGTCCCTCATGTTTTTTATTTTCTCCATTGATTTTAATATAATATGCTGTTTCTACATGTTATTTTAGTTTTGATTCCAGTTGAAAGGGGAATTGTCAATACTGTAAGGTCAGATGTTAACTGAAGTAAAATAACATGATCCAATAGAATAAAGTAGAAGGTAATCAGATGCCTTACCTTTTATTTCTAATCCCTGACAAATTTAATGTTAGGCCAAAATCTGTTTTATTTTGCTTTCCAGGCTTTCCTTTTTTTCCCATTGAGTAAAGCCAGGGTAACAGAAGAAAAAAACAAGAAGCCATAAAACTTGAGACAGATCTGTGTTACCTTCTTTATAGTCCATATGTATAAGAACCATAGTTGTTTCTCAAGTTTATCGTTTCAAGTGTATGCCATTAAATTGTGAGTTAAGTAAAATTTTCATTTGAAATTGTATAAAATTAAGTACATATTATAAAGAGGACTAGTTTCATGGTACAAGAGAAAAAGTTATTTGCTACATGCATAAATAATAAACAACATTTTTAAATTTTTGTTTTCTTCAGTGGTGTATAGATTGATTGACTGATTGATTTATACACACACACATACTCAAGATCCCTAAAGAAATTCTTATTATCATTGATATGAAAGTGATTCTCCCCAAATCTGGTTCAAATAGCCAATGTAATATAAATGGGAAAGTATTTATTATACTGCTATTGGCAATTTATGAACCTTGATAAACGCTCAGTCAGGGAATTGAACTGTTTTCGTCATCCAGATTTCTCCACCAAAGCTGTTTGAAATATATAGTTCTAAACTGAGGTGCCACAAAGCAACGCTTGGGTTTCTTTATTCAATTCATGTTATGAATGATTTTTGTTATTAATTTTTTAAGTTACCTAGGGAATGGGAGAGGGTATTTTGTTGTTGTTTTGGTTTGGTTTGGGTTTTTTTTGGTAAAACCAACTAGTTCTTCACCACCATTTCCATTATATACATTAGAAAATGTATATAAGAGGCATTATATAAATCTGTTGAACATTTTATGAGACAATTTGAACTACTCATCTGAACTGCTCTGTTCATTGTAAATCTCTTGTTTCTATCCATACACTAGCTCCACTCTAGATTGGAAGGGCTTAAAGATGAACTCTGGAGGAATAGAGGCTACGACTTAAGAGTAACTATTACTGATCAAAGGAGCCACTTTCCATTCGCAAACATTGCTTTGCGCTATGGGTTTGGGCTCCTTCTGTTTCTACATCTTGTTGAAGACTTTCTTGACTTCCATTTGACTTCTTTGAACTCTGTTTTTGTCTTTTAACATTTCCCCCTTTCTTTTCCTTCTCTCTACCAGATTTTTCTCTCACTCTTCTAGCTTTCTCTTGTGTTCTTTGAATCACATTTTAAAATGTAGTTTCTCTCTTTATTAAGCTTGTCTATTGTCTGTTAGTGTGTGTTTCTTTTCTTCTTTAAGGCTGTAGTGGTATAGTTACACTTACGTTCATTCCATAGTATAGCAACTTGCTTATTTATTTTGCAGCAAGTTCATTTGTCATTCTTACCCTCTTGGTATGAATTTTTAATGAGTAATAGCAGAACATTCTGCATTTACATATTGTCCCCTTCTGTAATTCCATACTTTATTTTCCATTGTCTATATTTACACCCTCAGACCTCTCTCTCACTTTTCTTTTCCTCATTCTTGCATCTTCTTCCCTGTGTTATTTTCTTTAAGCAGTCATTGATTTCTTTCCCATTTGGTCCAGAATTGTTCTTAAATAAGACCTCTGAGTAGAAGAATATAAGAATATTATCTTCAGATTAGCTTTTTCCTTCTAGTATGTTTAAAACTAGTTGAACAATCTGGGCCAAAAGAGAACAACTAACATTTGGAATATTTTTTCCTTTTTTTTTTTTTTTTTTTTTTTTTTGGTGTGTCTGTGTGTGTGTGTGTGTGTGTGTGTGTGTATTTTTTTTCTTGTATGTATGTTTGTGACTTTTTTATTTTTTATTTTTATTTTTTTTAACATTAACACTTGTTTTTTTCAGGGAAGGACAACCATAACCCACCCTAAGTTGCAACATTCCTTTCATAAGTTGTTTCATTATGATAGTAGATTGTGTTCAACTATAGAAATTAATTTGTTGTGTATATATCCATCTGGGGCAAGCTGCTGTGGAATGGGAAGCAGAGGTGTGGAGCTTAAATACAGTTTCCGTTAAATTAACAACATGTTAATGACATGTACCATGCTCCTTGAATATAACAGTTTTGTCACATTTAGAAGAATGTTTAAGGCCGGGTGCAGTGGTTCACACCTGTAATCCCAGCACTTTGTGAGGCCGAGGCAGGTGGATCACCTGAGGTCGGGAGTTCAAGACCAGCCTGACCAACATGGAGAAACCCCATCTCTACTAAAAATACAAAAACAAAATTAGCCAGACATGGTGGCGCATGCCTGTAATCCCAGCTACTCGAGAGGCTGAGGCAGGAGAATCACTTGAACCCGGGAGGTGGAGATTGCGGTGAGCTGAGATCGCACCATTGCACTCCAACCTGGGCAAAAAGAGTGAAACTCCGTCTCAAAAAAAGAAAAGAAAAGAAAAGAAAAGAATGTTTCACATTGACCTAAACATTGGAGTAAAAGCATAAGGGTTTCTGATTGATAAATTATATATCACCTAAGAACTGGTAAATAAATTTTGTTCAATTTCATTGATTTTCAACAGAAGCATATTTCATAATATTACAACTATGATAAATTATAATCAATAATTAACAAAGGTTATCAGAAACAAATGTAAATGTTATGTAAGGATTTCTCTATTTTCTTCCCATTAATATATATACATACTAAAAAATTACTGTAATGGAATACTTAGTTACAACTTTATTACTTGAGTTTTTATTATTATTCTAGTCAAGAGATATACTAAATGCCTTAATATTAAGGGCCAATATTTACAACTAAATATACAGTAACAAATTTCCATATACTGATTTTTAAATACAAATGAATAAAAAATCACCTTTGGTTTATCTCTGTGTAATTTGCAATATTGTACCCCAAATTTTTTTCTAGAAGTCAGTTCTTTCTTTAAAATAAGGAAAAGATAAATAAAAAAGATGAAACAAGTATAAAATTTTTACTAACATGTTATGACATCTGAAATACTAATATGTAAAGCCTTTGCTCCTAGACCTCAGGAGCTTGCCCTTTAAATATGTATATCTGCCTATTCATGCTATAAGCCCTAAATTACTGAGTTTATGCTCTTTCTACAGGTCCAGTCCAGGTGCAGCAGCAAGGAGAACATTCTCAGAGCCAGTAAGTATTTTACCATTTCTGGTGGGCTGCTGAACTAGAGCTTATAAAGCTAAAAATGATATTTTGGTGAAAAAAAGAAGAAAGCAATGGGGAACATTTATGTGACTAATATGAATATTAGGGATTTTACCTTCTAAAAATATTGCCAGTATCAATATATTAATAAATATTTCCCTTAATCTAATTGTTTTTGCAAGCTGACACCAGAACTTTGATACACTCCTAGGAGGGTAGTAATGAGCTCCTCTGTGACGCTGAATCTCTTTAATTGTTTCACTGCCAAAAGTTATTTGAAAACAAACTAACTGAAAATAATAATAATAATGTACATTCCTGAAGAGAAGCTAATTCTAAAAAAAGAATATGTGGCTCCCAAAAGGGTATATCATAATCATTCATTTTGTGAATATGAATTCCTAACATATCATAACTTCACAGGCAGTATGTTTTAGAACATAGAACCCTAAACCAAGAGTAAAGAATCCTCTATCCTCTATTTTATTTATTGGTTTGATCACTAATAGCATTAACTCAGAAGTCATTTAACTTTGTATATCATTCATTTTTCTATCTTAAAGAAAGGAACTATAATAGGTTTTTTCCTTATCTGTATCCTTGAAATGATGTCATTGAAAATTGTGTCTTAAAAGATTTAGGATCCTAAGAAAAAAGTGCTGTATAAATTCTAATTGTTTTATTATTGTTCTTTATAACTTAATAACTTAATTACATCACCCTATCTTCTTCCTGATCTTTATCAAGAGAAGTACAGGGGAGTCATACTGAAATAGGTCTACTGATACTCACTGGGAGTTTCAGCAAATTGAATGATTTCTATTTCTAGCAGGATATCAGCATTATTTTTGTGTTATACTCCTGGTTATGGTTTATTACACTGAAAGGATACAGATTAACATCAGCAAAGGCAAAAAGATGCATAGGGCAGAGTCCAGAAGAAACCAGGTGCAAGCTTCCAGTTGCCCTCTCCCAGTGAAGCCATATGGACATTGCTTATTTCTCCCAGCAACAATGTATGACAGAATGCATCAAGCATTGCCAAGCAAGGAAGCTCACTGAGCCTTAATGTTCAGGGTTTTTATTGGGGTTGGGTCACATGGGCACAGAGTGCTCATGTGACTGATCTTTATTTCACAATAAAAAAAATAGAGACCTTCACAAAGGTAAAAATTCTTGGGGTTTTTTTGTGTAAATTTTTCCATTTTTGTTTTGTAAATCTGTTATCTTAGCTCCAAACCCTTGGGCAAGCACAATTATTGCTCACCCAAGACCATTATATTGGCCAGGCACAGTGGCTCACACCTCAAAGAAATAAATTCCTCTGAGTCCCTTTGAACCTCCAATTTAGGACGTGGAGAGTGTTTCCAGTTGTTACAGTGAGGTGAGTCTCACATTAGATTGAACTTTGATTTATTTTCTTTGAGCTCTCCAGTTGCCAACTGTATTTTGTCTCCTAGGAGGAAGGAATCCTTTTTAGGACACCTTTGATAATCTAAATTTGGAAATGCATTTATCCTTGGTGAAAATCTGTCTTATTACCAATAACACTACTATTTATCTCTGTCTATCCTTGTCATTTTCTGTTATATCTCTGTAAGGGGTAAGTTCATAAGGAAAAACATAGACATAGGCCTCAGTACGTATTTTGCAAGCTGGCCCTGAAAACCAAGTTTCAGGTTTCTTGTAAGACCGGTGTCCTTTAGATAAACTTTGCCCTGGGTCATTGATCAACCTATGAGAACCTTCCTTGTTCTCTTTCTGTTTTGTTAGTGAGAGTCTTGCTATGGAAGAATTATAGTAAGCACCCTAAGGAATTTTTGATATGAACAAAATTGTTTATTTAAAAGGAGCCTGAGAATAAAAAGGAAACAAAATTGCAAACAATTAATGAGCTAGAGTTTTGTATTGGTTTGAAGAAATATCCCAAATAAAATCAGATTGCAAAAGTACTTCCATAAGAAATTCCTTGGCCAAGGCAAAATAAAATGTAGTAAACCTAATGCCTCTTTTACATCCCTGAAAACCAAATCTTGGCCCTAATTAAGAAGATACCTGGGTCTCACTGGCTATTGCAGACAATGAGTTCCCAACTTTTCTGAAATTGCCATGCCATTATATGACTTAACCAAGTCCTTAGAAACTGAACCTCTTTCGTGGGCACCAAATGTGAACAAGCTCTTACAACCCCTTGCCTTGCTATATCCATCAATCCTAAATGATTGTATCATGATCTTTATCCATTCTTAATGAAGCGCCTATATTAAAAGATCTACTTTGGACCAAACTTCAAAATCTTATAAATATCCTGACTTTCCTTTCTGTGACTCTGACTCTAAGACTAAGTCTTTGTTGAAGTGTCATTTTTCCTTTCTAGAGTCAAACTCCCTATGTTAAAATCTTGATTTCTCTACTTACTAGCTGTGTGAACTTGAACAAGTGCTCAGTATCTCTATGCCTCACTTTCCTGATCTGTAAAATGTGGTAATAACTTATTCACAAAGGGCAGAAATTATAAAGAATAAAATAAATAAATTTTAAAATGTGGTAATAAGATGATCTACCTTATAGATTGTTACAAGGATTAATTAGTATATTTATGCTAGGTACATAATCATTCAGTAAATGTTAGCTGATATTATTGTTACTATTACTACTGATACTACCAATTACCATTATTTTCTTGATAATGATGATAATAACAACGTTACTTTTTATTGAATGTTACTGTGTATCAAATACTTTTCTACATGTTTCATCCTACTTAATCCTCACATACAACAACAAATCCTGTGAGTAAAATTCTAATAATTTCTACATTAAATAGATAAGGAAATTAAAGATTCCAGAGTTAAATAAGTTGCTTGTGTAAGTAAATGGTATATGAGTTGAAGCCAGTATTTCAGACCTTGATTTTATAGCCCACATTTTTAACCAACATGCTGTGTTACCTACTTAATTTCAATAAGGCCTTCAAAACTCAATTCAATATTATGCAAAATAAGCAATAGATAAGAATAGAAATTGATATCTGGTATATCCATGGGTACTTATAAACAAATATCTGATTATCAGTGCCAAAATCATTTTATTACCACATATACTATAAAGATGATATGATAGTAGTTATTGTCTTATGTCATCTTTCCACCTGTAATTCATTTCCTTCTGTCAACCACTTTATTTTTAATAAAGCAAAATTTTGTTATTTTTATGAATAACTGGTTTTATGCAAGAAATCAAGTAAACTTAAAAAATGTTACAGTGAGGAATGCCATATGTGAACTTATATTTCAGCACTTCAGTACAGTGTTTTAATTGCTTTCTTTCTCCCCCACCCCGAGACAGAGTCTTGCTCTGTCACCCAGGCTGGAATGCAGAGGCATGATCTCAGTTCACTGCAACCTCCACTTCCCAGGTTCAAGTGATTCTTCTGCCTCAGCCTGCCAAGTAGCTGGGACTACAGGCGTGCGCCACCATACCCAGCTAATTTTTGTATTTTTAATAGAGACAGGGTTTCACTATGTTGCCCAGACTGGTCTTGAACTCCTGACCTCGTGATCAGCCTGCCTCAGCCTCCCAAAGTGCTAAGATTACAGGCGTGAGCCACTGTGCCCAGCCTTAATTGTTTTCTTAATGTACTTTGTTCAGCCTGTGTATAGGACAAGTGGTACATTTTCCTGGGATTAACTTTTATAGATTTTTTAAGTCTATTTTAATGGAATTTAGAATTTTTATTGATATATATTTGTACCTATTTATGGAGTACATATGATATCTTGATACATGCATAGAATTTGTAATGATCAATTCAGGGTATTTGGGATATCCATCACCTCTTGAGCATTTATCATTTCTTCATGTTGGGAACATTTCAAATCCTATATTCTAGTTATTTTGAAATATACAATACATTGATGTTAACTATAGTCACCCTACTGTACTATAAAACATTAGAACTTATTCATTCTATATAACTGTATGTTTGTACCTTTTAGCCAACTTCTCTTTATCCCCCACCCCATCCTTCCCAGCCTCTGATAATATCACTCCACTCACTGCCTCAATGAGGTCAACTTTTTTAGCTCCCACAGTTTAATGAAAAGTTATAATATCTGTCATTCTGTGCCTATCTTACGTTCACTTAACATGCCTTCCAGTTCCATCTGTGTTGCTGCAAATGACAGAATTTCTACGATTTTAAATAGTAGTCCATTGTGCATATATTCCACATTTTCTTTATCCACTTATTTATTTATGGACACAGTTTAATTCTATATCTTGGCTATGGTGGACAGTGCTTCAGTAAACATGGGGGTACAGGCATCTCTTTGATATGCTGTTTTCCTTTCCTTTGGATATATACCCAATTGTAGAATTGCTGAGTTATATTGGTAGTTCTATTTGTACTTTTTTGAGGGAGTCCATAGTGTTTTTTATAATGTCTTACTAATTTACATTCCCACCAACAGTGTGTAAGAGTTCCCTATTCTCCACATCCTTACCAGCATTCATTACTTTTTGTTTTTTGTTTTTTATAGTAGCCATTCTAACTGGAGCCGGATTATATTTCATTATAGTTTTGATTTGCATTTCTCTCATGATTAGTGATGTTGGGCATTTTTTCATATACCTATTGGCCATAGGTATGTCCTCTTTTGAGAGATGTCTATTCAGCTAATTTGATTACTTTTTAATGGAATTATTTGGGTTTTTTCTGTTGAGTTGTTTGAATTCCTTGTATGTTGTGGATATTAGTCCCTTGTCAGATGAACAGTTTGCAAGTATTTTCTCCCATGTTGCAGGTTAACTCTACTCTGTTGATTGTTTCTTTTGCTATGTGGAAGCTTTTTAGTTTGATATAGTCTCATTTGTCTGTCTTTCTTTTGTTGTCTGTACTTTTGAAGTCTTAGCCAAAAAATATTTGCCTATACCAATGTCCCAAAGTGTGTTTCTTCTGTGTTTTCTTCTAGCAGTTTTATAGT